ATCGACAGTCATGGACACCAATTTTGTCAGGACAGAGTGACTGCCATTCTTGCAGACATTTTCACTCCAGTTTCTGTCATTTCAGAAGAGAAGCAAAAATCATCTCCACTACGCGGTACGTACCATGTTGCTGAAAATGCCTAGTGCAGATATCTTGAACTCAACCAGTGAAATCTCTTCTGATGTTCAATTCATTTCACAGAATGTTTAAGATTTAGCCTATCTCATCAATCGTCATGATTTCGATCTATTCAGTATTGATTTGATTTATGAAACCATCATTTTCGGAAACGCTTCCTCCTGACACTGATTTCGATGGAACAATGCAAATTCTTCGTAAAATGTTTGGACAGCATGCAGTGGTATTCAATATCCATTAGAAATGTTTAATTCTATCCGAGGAACAATGTGACGACTTCCTTACTTTTTCTGTTAAAGTCAACTGTGCACGAAGCAAGTGTCCTACAGTATTTGTGGAGGTGGTAGAGGTGTCATAGACAGAGTGTACTCAGACCTAGAAACATCTCCCAGTGGACCTGTAATTGAGAATCTAATAGAAGGCGGGATCGTAAGGACACAGTATCCATCACTGTTAGCCATAATGTTCTGATTGATGCAACCAGTGAGATATTGATTATTGATTTATGGTATAAATTTGTGTTGATGTGTGACCGATGGATATACTCTGTATTGTGAATAATAAAGGTTGTTGTCTTTGTCATCGTCGTCGTGGTTGTTGCAGTTGAGTCTGACTTCGGCGTCGTCGATGTCGATGTGATGGGGGAATTTTTCCGAATAAAGTGATGAGTAGTCTGGAGGCGCATTGTAGTCAAGATAGAGAATAACCGCAAAATCAGTAAGTATCACTGCGTCACAACATTTTAGATTGGGAGAATGTAGAAATTTTAAACATTGGGAACAATAAAAATGAAGTTGAGGAATTACGAGAATCCTGGTACTCAGACGAATATCAGCGACTGACAAATACATTACCGCAGTTCAAATTTACCACGCAGTTAAGAATCATATGACAAGAAAGCTTTAATTCTAAGTCAATAAAAAGAATGATAATTGTAGATTGACAACCAGTCACAAGAATTGTTATCATGAGCTAAAGCTATATCATCAGTCATGGAGAAGAAATTCAAACAAGTTGACTTTACATTAAAACCTGTGCCGAAGAGATTTCGTCTAGAGGAAAAACGGAAGCGTCGCAATTAAATCATCAACCAGCTCATAGAACACAAACAGATGAAAATCGTTACATTCACCAAAATACTACCAGCATTTTTAGATATTCACTAAATATTATTGTTAATACGTCCTAACTTGTTACATAGAATACTACTCAGATAAGAGTAAAGGTTATAATCATAGTGGCAATGGTGATCAATAGTAGTAATAATGGAGAGGTCATGTGTCAATTAACGGTGACCATTTTTCTGTCAAGATAAAACGAGTCTTAGTCAACACTTGTTTATCACAGAGACACAGTGGTATATTTTCACAGATATTATTACACCTTGGCGAACCCGAATCTTGATCATATTTAAAACAAATTGAGATTTAATCATATGAACACATGGCTGCAGTAACTCTCACATACGCTCTTGAAGTTAAAAAGGAGATGTTATGACAACCCGAAAAGGTTGCTTCAGCGGTTAAGAAGGAATAAGAAATGTATGTACACCTTGACAGAGCCTTTATATTTTATCGATCGATTATGGTGATATTATTATTACTCCTTTGGGTTCCGAGTGGAACATACGGATTCAGCTGAGGCACATCGCAATATCACTGATTTTTTTGCAGTCATTTTTGCTTGATTCTATGATCGCCCATAAGGATTAATTTACTCTTGTTCCCATTTGTTCTCCTCCGTGAAACCGTTGAGCTCACTCTCAAGTCGTGGTTCCCCATGCGCGTTTGATTCGAGGATGTGTCCGGCACCGTGATTTCACTCAACGCTGTCCTCGACGTGTGTCCAGTCCATCTGTACTTTCATCTGCATATTTCTCGGTTGGGTTATAGATTCTCAGTCGGTCGACTAGTTTCTCATCAGTACAGAAGCATTGACTGATCTGATGTCAGTGTTACAAATCTCAGTCTGGTTCCTTCTGTACAGTGTAATAGATTTCCACACTGATTTCATAGCAATGAACGCCTGTTTTTTTCCTTTCCCAATCCAATCCTGGCTGAATTGGGCATCCCCGTCTGTGAGTGACACCGCTTGTAGTTGAAATGTTGATACTGCTGTGGTGGTAAGCGGGAAAAATGACTTCATGTAGACCTCTCCCATTTACGGTGGTATGCGCCTTTTGTTGTTGGTTACCAGATATCTTCATCACATCTCTCATATTTGTGAAGACCAGTGTGTTGGCTATCCCTTGTAGATCTTCGGGTTTGCGTGATATTGGACATAAATTATCATTATCAGGGAACTTGATGAGATTTTGCTTGTATGCAGGAGGAACAAATGACTTGGAATGGGCGTGATGGTCAACACACAATTTTTTCCAGAAAATACCCTGCTTAATGCTCTCATCTTGCCTTATTGATAGCAGGACATATAGAGATGAAAAATAATTAATTTTTTCTGTTTTGTATGAGAGCTCAGTTTGTGGGTCGTATTACATTTTGTGTAAAGTTAGTTCTACATTGAAATTTCAGTCCAATGCAGTTCAGTTTCAAATTACTATATGTTACACTGCCATCTTCGAAGTATTCTACAAGGTTACTGAATGAAAATACATCATTTGAGATGTCTTATACACATGTATTACATATCTCAAGTTTCCGCGCCTTTCTCAATGGGCAATCTTAGCTGACACATAGGACGGAGATGGAAAAGGGTTAAGGATGGGGCGAGGGGGAAAGGGGTCAAACAATCAATCGTTAACACGTATGGAGGCGTATATTGTCTGTCTGACTGGGCACCTCGGAGTGCTAAAAACTAATGACAGCTGAAGATTGTTAATGATATGGTTCAAAATCGTTTTCAATGGCACATATGCATTCACTCATTATGCTGTCTCTTAAATTCATGTTACTGTTATTTATCCTTTACTCTTATGCTCATTATAGTTCTTTTGAATTTTAGTTTTTCAAATGTAAGTGTGTAGGGCTTTGCTTTTTACTTTTTAATGCTATTACGGTCTGTCCTCACCCTAGTGCTAATAAATTTCTACGCCTTATTACCACTGTTGTTAACTTGACTTTCATCCAATTTTAGTTGAACTCATCTACTCAATCCCGTCAATTATGATACATTACTAAATTTACTTATTTAATTGAATTTCAGTTTCTACCTGATTAACTCTCTTTATATTACGTAATTTATTGTCCGAAAAAGAAGCCTTATTGAAGCCTGACTTATGTGTCCAAAAAGAATCCGTTGCTGAACTTCAATCACCCTAATGATTCACTTCTTAGTAACTCTTTGTTTTCTAAATTCATTAACTTATCTTTTCACTCACCCCACCCCTTTATTTCTCGCTTGACTCTCTTAAGAGGTGGTTTTTCGTGATCTTCTGAGTTCTGCTCAGTGTATTACATCATCAACTTCTCATCTGACCTCATGTGCACCGAAATTTTGATCTTCTCTTATCTAATTACGTAACTATTACTAATTTTCTTTTGTTACCAACCCAACAACACAACTGTTAGTTAATTTTTTCAAGAAACTTCTCTCTAACAAGATATATATATGTCGTAACATTTTAGACACCTTTAAATCGCAACGCCTTATTTCACTATGACGCCGTGACAATATGCTTGCTAATGGACAAAAGTTTGTTAAAATTGTACATTTTCTATTTTATTAAAGAATTCAGGTTGTAAGCAGTTGATGAGAACCGACGAAATAAAATGGATCCAGATTATTCTGCGCCAATGTTTCTTCTTTCTTTGTTCAAGTTTATAAAAGGGAATCATTGCATGTAACTAATATATCTTTGATGATATTTTACACTATACTTTATTGCATAAAATACAGTTTTCATCCCACGTCGTTGTGTGTTCTTTTTGAAGTAGTGCAGGTGGGTGAAACAGGTAGGCAGCTGCCTGTTGGTAAATGTTGTCAAAGTAGTCAGGCGGTGGTCGCGATCAGCGCGACTGTTTCTCACTCGTTATTTCTATTTTAGTCTCGATATACTGAGAAACAGTTATTGTTCTTAGCTATGGGTCCCTGGAGACCACACGCTTACAACGTTCACACTGTAATCAGCTTCACAGGAGCATGAGAAAGAGTAGATGCTCTTAGCTGAGGTGGGTGTAGTGAGCAGTAGTTTAATCTTCACGTTTTGTCAACTCATATTTTAGCTAGAGAATATTAGGTATGTGTAAATCAACGGTATAATAAGAGAGTTCAATACGCTTGAAAAAATGAATTTTAATCACTTCACCAAGAGTATCACCTTTTATTGCCAAAATCATAAACAGTGTGTTCTCTGATATTACATTTCAGTCAAGAATGTTGTACAAAGGTTTTCTAGTTACTTTTTAACCGTATCTATAGAACAAATTTTCCGAATTTCGAGACATAGAGAATATATAAATAAGATTTCTCTTTCTACCTAGAGATATCCCACCATTAATGTTTGTGTGCTGCCCTGTAAAGGCTGGCTTTCACTATATTGATCTTTTTAATGTGACATCTCTCCTATCTAGCGTAACAACTAAGAAGGGAAATGTGGAATTTGGACTTTCTTCGACAGTGATAAACACGGATGTGTGAGATCCATTAGGCTCTCATTGGCAGGGTCAACAGTTGAACAGTATTCATCATAATTAACAAAAGTGTCGTCTATATGTATATATATATATATATGTATATATATATATCTTCTGAAAATGAATACAGACGTGAGATAATTTGCTTCAGTGTACCTTTCTCTAAATTCGCCATGGAGACACCCCTTAGACGAGGAGGCGCCATGGCGACTCTACACACTCACAGAAACAGATATATAAATAACAGAGAAATCTGCCGAAATACTTACCCGATTTTCATTCCATTTTTGTATAGCTTTGCGTTTACCAATTTCAAGTTTCTGGTATTCTTCCCACCATTTTACATGTTTAGCCACTTCTTCTAATGTCTTTGTCATCAACAGGTCGGCTAGATGTTGATGAAAATCAGACATGCAATCATCTTCACTATTGTCCTTTATTGTTTTCGCCTCATCAATTTGCAATGCACTTTCATCATCAGCCTGTTTAACTGCAGCGCTTATATTATGTTCACTTGTCAATTTTTTATTTTGAACTTTTTGGATTTGATATGCTTTGAGCTGTTTTAAAAATTTGGAATGTTCTTCCTCTGTCCAACCTCCTGTTCGCCCACCATGATTATCGAGGAAATTCTGTAAAGGTTCAATTTAAAATAATTACACTCAATATCCAATAGGCAAGGTTAAGCCATTTTCGTGCATAATATCAGTGTAAACGGCACAAAACACATAATTCACTTGTACAAAACCATCGATATAGACAACTTTAAAACATTTTAATTGAATAAAGACGAGCAGTAAGAAATTAAAATAAAATGTAGATTAGTGAATAAAGAATATTCCTTTTCGAATATTTCCTCTTATTCGCCGAATAAACTGAACTTCAAGTGAATACAAAAAAGACAGAAGTGATGCAGATACTTTGCACCGATGTGCAGCAGTTCAAGTCGCCACACTCCATGTAGCACACAAATCAAGGGAAGAAAGTAGAAGAAATGCATAATAGAGACATTAGACAGGGATATGAGACAAAGGAATAGTAATAACAAAGAACAATATAGTTTCATTGGAAATTATAAGTCACAAGCAGTGGATGCATCTGCGCCATTGAGAAGAATGTTGAGCCATATCACTAATTTTCTCCAGCCGTTGGTTTCTAGCGTCCCGGGGACCCCAACCAGGAAGTCTACTGCTTCCTACGTGGCTTAAACTAACTGTTGTGGATTTCATTGACTGGTGCCATGTTTTCGTTTGACCACCACTGGCTCTTTTCCAACCTGACCCTATGTCAGCTAACATTGCCCATCGAGGAAGATGATGGCTAGGCATGCGTAACACATGTTCTAACCATCTCAGTCGATGTAACTTCACAGCCTCGTTGATTGATTTCCCCTCTTTAAATTTCATTAACTACTCCATTTCACATTCCAAAATTGTCAATTTATCCAAATTAAATCATTGTCAATTAACACATTATATATATATATATAAACTGGGTGGCTATTACTGTTCCCTTGGGTTCCGAGCTTGAAACCACACCGTATTTTTGGTACAAGTATGGAATTTTCAGCATGTGATATCGGTAGCCCAAATTTTGCAGGCTGACCATAGATATCGGGTGCGCGCCGGCAGATGATCGAACCCCGGACCGTGTGCATGGTCGGCGAGAGTCCTAACGACTGTGCCACCGACGCACTATTGCGCCAGCGAATGCAATTGTTGATAGAAATCTGCAGCAGCTTGTTGGAAATGCTTTCCGTGACTCACTGACCAAGTTTCTGACCCTTATAGAAGGACTGACTGACCTGACATTGTTTCTGGAAATCCGAATTTTGATGTTTATGCTGAGGCAGAGTGAAGACGGTTACTAAACTGATTTAATAATGATGAATGTCTATCTCGGCTTTCCAATCCTGGCTTTGAAATCTTCATCCGTTCCGCTAGTTGTAGCTGAAACGACACTTCCCAGTTAAGTGAAGTAAGCAACCTTTTTCTAATTGCGCCCGTAGGTGGTGATTAGCTTTGATCATGTTTGCTGTTTTGTGTTGGTTATCTTCATCAGTCTTCTCTGTGTTCACCTGGAGTTTCGCCTACCTCTTCTGCCAGCTTTTTGGTTTTCATTTGTAAATCTTCGAGTTTTTGTTACATCAGACATGAATCACCCGGATCTTTTAGAGTCCTCGTATCAGTCCAAAGTATACCTGCCTTCTCACTCCTTATTCACAGTTTTTCGCATAATCGAGTCCCCCACAATTAGGAATATCATTGGTGATAATAGGCAGCCTTGTTTTAAGAACAGGATAGTGGAGAGTAACCGAGCAAATTTATGTACCATATTTTATGAACATATCTGAAATAAATGCCAGAAGACTGAGAGTATTCAGAATAGATATTGGTGTGGAAAAGGAAACAGTCACTTCATTAAAAAGTCCAAATTGACTTCATCACAATCTCGAGGAAGTGGAGGCGCAGCCTACTGGACACAAAAGCAAGAAGAGGAGCAGACGTTGGCTCAGACCACTACCTCGTACAAGGAACAATCCAACTCAAATTAGAAGCTTTCAGAGAATCAGCGGCTGCAGATAGACCACAAGCCAAGTTCAACACTCAAAAACTAAAGGACCAGGATACAAAGGACATCTTCACTGCAACCATAAAGGACAAAGCTGAGACACAAATCAACATTAGCGAAGAGGCCAGCGTCGAAAAACACTGGGACAACCTGAAAGCGGTATGGAGCGAAACCTGCATGGAAGTTCTGGGCAGAAAGAAGAGACAGGACAAACCGTGGCTCACTACGGACACTTGGAGGCTAATAGAAGAGAGAAGGATGGTGAAACAAAAGATTATCCAGTGCACCGACGAGCAACAGAAACAGGAGTTGAATGCAAGCTACAATACACTGAACAAAGGAGTAAAGAAGAGTGCCAGAGAAGACAAAAGAAAGTATTATGAAGCCATGGCCAATAAAGCAGAACAAGAAGCAGGCAAAGAAGACCTCGCAACACTCTGACAAACAACTAGGTACCTATCGGGCAAACGTTTGACACAAATTAAGCCGGTGAAGGATGACAACGGAAAGTCAATCACCAAAGAACTGGAGCAAAGGAAACACTGGGCTGAACACTTCAAAAGACTTCTAAATCGACCACCACCTACAATGCGCCCAACAATACCAACGACGGAGACAGAGCTACCAGTGAACACCAACCCCCCGACGAAATCAGAAGTCCTGAAGGCAATCAAGATGCTGAAAGCTGGAAAAGCAGCAGGACCAGATGGAATCCCAGCAGAGGCATTGAAAGTGGACCCAGAGACAACAGCAAACTTGATGACGCCACTACTGGAGAAGGTGTGGAAAGAAGGCAAAGTACCCGAGGATTGGAAGAAAGGATACCTATTCAAACTACCAAAGAAAGGAGACTTAAGTCAATGCAAGAACTGGCGCGGAAATATGCTCCTGTCCATCCCAAGCAAAATACTAAGCCGCATCATCCTGGAAAGGATCAAACAAGCCCTAGATGAAAAACTTCGACCGGAACAAGCTGGATTCAGGAGAAACAAGTCATGTATTGATCAAATCGCCACACTACGGATCATCATTGAACAAAGCTTGGAGCGGCAGTCACCTCTCTATCTCAACTTCATCGACTTTGAAAATGCCTTTGACAGCGTCGATCGAGAGGTGATTTGACAACTACTTCGCTACTACGGGGTGCCGCCGACAATTATACATCTCATCCAACAGTTGTATGACAACGCTGCATGCCAAGTAATCCACAACGGGAAGCTCACGGAATCCTTCGAAGTGAAGACAGGAGTAAGACAGGGTTGCCTACTATCGCCAATGATTTTCCTGATTGAAGTAGATTGGATAATGCGACAAACAGCGGGCAATGAGGAAACAGGCATAAAATGGACTCACACAAAGAACTTGGAGGATCTGGACTTCGCCGATGATATATGTCTGATTTCCCACAAACTGGAAGATATGCAAGTGAAAAGTAACAAGATGGCAGAAGAAGCATCAAAGATCGGTGATGAAGATTCCTGGCCAACACCAACAGCCACAGCAACAACAACAGACAGCAATCAGCATAAATGGAAGGAACCTGAAAGAAACTACCTCCTTTACCTACCTGGGAAGCATTGTTTCAACTACAGGCGGAACTGACGAGGATATCAAAGCAAGGATCGGGAAAGCAAGGCAAGCTTTCATTGCTCTCAAGTCTGTGTGGAGGTCAACAGCATTCAGCGTCAAAAATAAGATCGGGATTTTCAACTCCAATGTGAAGTCAGTACTACTATACGGATCAGAGATTTGGCGTGTCACAAAGAGCACCTTAAACAAGCTACAGACCTTCATTAACAGATGTCTTCGCTCAATACTCAAGATCAGATGGCCGGAAAGGATCAGCAACAAAGATCTCTGGGAGCGAACCAACCAGGAACCAATTGTGAAACAAATAGGCAGGAAGAAATGGAGATGGATTGGCCACACTCTGAGGAAACCAGCAAGTGACATCACTAGACAAGCCCTCGAGTGGAACCCGAAAGGGAAGCGACGAGTTTGTCGTCCAAGGGTGACTTGGAGAAGGTCATGTGAAGAGGAGATGAAAGCATGTGGGCAGACTTGGAGCCAGGTGAAGACTCTAGCAGAGAACCGAACGCAATGGAGACGCATGGCTGAAGCCCTATGTTCCTCTAGGAACTAAAGGAAATAATAATAATAACAGCAAAAAAGACAAAATTAGCATACCATCTACAAAATAAATTGCATTAAGTGTGAAAAAACGCTCTGTTGGCAAAAATGGATGTCCACCACGAATCTAAGAACATAAACTAGTCGTTGTAAGAGCATATGACAGTAATATTTCTTCACATATCAACATCATTGTCACGACTGGTAGACGAATATCTGTTGAGCGAGAGACAGTACCTGAGAGGTTGTTCCACAGGATAATAATGTATGCAGTTTTGGTCTTGCAAGCGCCTGAGTCGATTGTGTTAGTTATTCCTGGAAAGTCAGTAGGAGTGTCATTATACGAATCATCCAGCATTCTGGTCCCAGATGAATAGTTCCGAAATAGGCGGGCGAAGCAACTGTACAGTCCTCCAGCACTGGTTTTCCGGTGGTTCTCTAATTGATGTCAACTCATTGCCCAACTTTCAATCCCCCCCTGAAAAACAACACTTGCTCACTAGTGACCACCTCTATACAGGAAGTAATTACCTGGAGTATTCTAATGGAAAGTCTTAACCAGCACAGGGGTCCATCAAGTCAAGTAAGAGATCAGTTACTCCCCACCTATGACAACGGGTGGAGGTAGTGGCGTTGTATATATCGCGAATCGGCAGAAGCTGGAATTCATGAGTTGGCCACTGTGTCCTATCCCGGTGACAGAATAGTCTACGAGCTCGCCTTGTAACTGGAAGATCCCGGGTTCAAACCCCAGTGTGTACGTACTACTGAAAACTCCCAAACTAGGTGAACCGAATAGCTATCCAGTACTCCAGTGATGGTTTCTCAATGGTTCGCTAACTGATGTCAGTCGTTTCGTGACCATCTATAATGGAGTTATACTCTACCACAGCACCTAAATTTTTTACTTATGTCTCGTGACCGAACCTGTGACTATTCAAATCCCTGAAAACCGACACGTTATCCTATTTGATAGTAACTAGGGGGATTTACACTTCACCCTGTTTTAGACTCGTTGTACCTATATTCTCTGTGTATAACGATCCTCAAAATGAAACCCGAACCCCCTATCCATTCGTGTCAAACGCCAAATCACTATCCAGTTGACCACTAGGGCGACCAGAACAACGTCTTTGGTGCAATGGGCATCAGTTATTATTCATTTGCGGGTTAATTTGCATTTCAGCATAGACCATGAGCTAACTTCAGTAGGCGAACTATTGAAAATCACTAGTAGGGAGCACTAGACGCATATTTTGGCTTCAGTACTCACCCATGACCTTAACGAGGACTGAACCCCTTAGCTTAGGGTTACAAGGCGAGCAGGTGTGCTACTGAGCCACTACGATGAAATTCACTGGGCAAGGCAGCCTATCATTTCAAAAGTCAACTGATTTATGATACATGAAGCGCCACCACTACCATCCAGTGTCATCACCGGGTTATCTGCTCTCACACACAACAACTTACCTGGTGGACCCGTGTGCTGGTCATAACTTCTATCTAGAACACTTCGGGCAAATTCTTACTCCTGCAGTCGGTCAGTAGTGGGCAGTAGATTAATTTTCGGACGGATCGGTTCGAGTGAGTACCGACTTATATCCCCAAAAGGTGGGGTAATATATGCTCACCACTGAAGACTCCCAAGCTGGGAGAATAAAAAAAGTTATCCAGTCCAGTTTCCCTTGATTTAAACATCAGTGCTTCAGTGGTAGAATACTTGCCAACAATGACATTGCAAGTGGTTCTTCATTCAGTCCCTAGCCGCCGACAAACTTCTACAACTCTCTGCTTAACCGATAGTATAAGTCACAGAAGGTTGGGATGTTCGTGGTTAGAAACCTTAACCCAGAAAAAATGAACATCACTGCTACTGAAAATTAAAAACTCAAGTAGCTTGAAGCTGCCTCTATGTTCCACTCCGGGAAGCAAACAAAGTATTAAGATGAATACTAACCTGAAAATCGTTGATCTCCGGTGGTAGATTATTATTTCTTATTCCTAAACGTGTAGACAAGCTAGAAGAACCAGAGGTTGTTTTCTGCAAATTTAAAATTATTTTGTCTTCTGTTTTTAATTCATTCTTCTCCCAACAGGCGATACGACGTTCCATATTTAAACAGTCTTGCCATAGATCTACTTCTTGTTGAAGAAGAATTTCAGCGCTGAGATTAAAAGCAAAATGGAAATAAAAGTTAAAAATAATAATAACAAATAGCAAAACTTTTGAGTTAAGTGATGACGAACTTAAAGATCAGCAGTTACAGGATCATTGATACGAGGGAGTAGTACTGTAACTTTCTTGAAGAGATCGAACCCAACACCCTGAAGTCACAAGGTGAGTCATTCAACCATTGGGTTGAAATCCTTGAGATTATGAATTCTAAGGGACCTTGCTTAGTTTACTAGTTAGCTAATTTCCTAGCCGGTCCTAAGCACAGAAAAAAAGGACTGAGACAAGACTGCCTAATATCACCCATGATGATATTCCTAATTTTGGTGGACTGCATTATGCGGAACACCATGGGTGTGGGGCGAGATGACACGGACAAGTTGGGTCGATACGAAAACTCAAGAAGATATGGGCATCATACGGGTGATTTATACTTGATACGAACTCGAACATCTACAGACGAAAACCAACAAACTGGTTGAAGAAGCAGCGAAGACAGGACCTCAAATGAACGTGATGAAGATAAACGAATCGAAATGAATCGTCGAAAAGAAAATTTTCTTCGCTGTTTGTGCCTTTTCTTATGACTCAATATGGGAATATTTCGTTCATTGAAGAACTCCAAGGACCCTGTGACAGTAAAGGAATTGGACAAATCCCTGCGTTTCTCTGTCAAGCTTGCTGAAGTTAACACGGAGCTTAATTTTCTGAAACGATGCATCGATAAGCATGAGTATCCAAAACATTACTGGAAGAATCTCCGCCGGAATCATATTTACCCTAATTCAAAGACACTTAAACGTCACACACTCAATCACATCGACGCCATCCGCTCACGCATACCGGAACTTGAACGTAATATATCACAAAGAACCCATGCTTTATATGAACTATCCGATGATGAACGACAAACATTTCAGGATTATGTATCTAGTGTCATAGAAAAACGTTGCAACGATACCATTTCACGACTAACAAAAAGCCTGAAACCATCTGAAACTCTTTCGTCGTTTCCACAGAATCCAGAGAAATACGTCTTTAATTTCTCGGATTTTCCTCTGACTCCTGTTCAAATGCAAGTGCTATCACTTGGCCCAAAATTTTGCCATGTACCGAGTAAATTCAACGAATTACAAACTAAAGTACAGTTTGAGAATTTAATGTCACAGACATCCGATTTGTCACCTACTTCTGAAAAAGATCTGGATCAATTCAAAGCTTCAATCCTTGACAGCTGTTACAAGTACATTCATACGCGACCGAGCCACCGTTATCTACTGACCAAGGAACACAAACGACAACTTAAACAGCTCCAAGAAAATAAAGACATAATCCTCGTCCGTCCTGATAAGGGCAATGGTATTGTAGTAATGAATAGATCCGATTATAATGAAAAATTGACAGATATACTATCAGATAACACCAAATTCTTCGAATCACCCAACCAGAAAGACACAACCGAAAGAACTGAAATCCTACTTACAAAATTGTTGAAGAGAATGAAAGAAGATTCAGTCATAACACCGGAGGTTTATGAGCAAATAAAACCTTGCAGTTCAACTATTCCAAGACTGTATGGACTGCCTAAAGTGCACAAGGAGAATGTCCCACTTCGACCGGTCATAGACATGGTTAACTCACCATATCATCAAATCGCGAAGTGGCTAGCTGATATCCTCGAACCAGTTCAAAGACATATGACAAAATATAGCCTCAGAGATACATTTGACTTCATCGACTCAGTGAAGGATGTCAACGTGTCTGAAAGACAAATGATCTCACTAGATGTCGTCTCTCTATTCACAAGCATCCCCCTAACTGAAACAATATGCTTCATTTGTGATTACATCGAGACCAACAACCTAGAAGTTCCTCTCCCAATAAACTACCTGAAGGAACTTCTTCTCAGATGTACGTTCAATATCCAGTTCAAATTCAATGAAAGGTTCTATGTACAGAAAGATGGAGTAGCTATGGGGTCTCCTCTCGGTCCACTCCTAGCCGACTGCTTCATGGCAAGTCTGGAAAACAACATCCTCAATCCCTTGATAAGTCAACTGCACTTATACAAGAGATACGTAGATGACACGTTTATAATCTGTGATGAAAATTGTGATTTAGATTCTCTCCTTAAAACCTTCAACGCAGCGCATCCATCAATAAGTTTCACCTTAGAAAGAGAATCGAACAACACATTTCCATTCCTTGATGTACTACTCACCAGACGACACGACTGTACGATCCAAAGATCAATATACCGCAAGCCGACATGGACTGGACAGTTTATCAACTTTCAGAGCTTCGTCCCACTAATCCGAAAGAGAAACCTGATACGTACGTTGAGCTCAAGGATTAGAAAAATCTGCTCGGAAGACATGGTGGAGAATGAATTAAATTTATTACGTAAAATCCTACTAGAGAATGGATATCCACCAAGATTTATTGACAAAAACATGAAGGAGAAGCCTCCGATGTCAAACATCGCAACGGTTCCTAAGAAGACTCTCTTCATGAACCTAGAATTCAAAGGTGATGTCGCAGCGGAAATTCTCAGAAACCGCCTTTCTAAATGTCTGAAGAAGACATTTCCAACAGCCACTCTACGTATCACATTCTCCTGCAGACAGTTAATCCAGTCTAACGCTAAGGACAAGATACCGCTTTTGGCCACCTCAATGTGTATTTATCAATTTACTTGCTCGTGTGGAGCAAAGTATATTGGCCGTACGCAACGTCAAGTCCAAAAACGTATTCTGGAACACTGCCCCGCTTGGTTGGCCAGAGGAGAAAAGAAGAATAGCAACAGCTCGATCCTCGAACACCTTGTCATCTCTGGACATCGAGCACCCCCACATGAATGCTTCACAGTGTTACACAGAGTCCCTCAATATCGTACAAAGGGACTTCGGATTCGCCATCTTTACATAGCTGAAGCATTAGCTATTCGAGATCTAAAACCGGACCTCTGCATACAAAAGCGATACATACATTCTCTTGCCTTACCATGGCCAGAGTAAAGTTCTTATCACAATTTTGCTTCTTTCCTTTATTATGTAAGTTCACTATTATTACCATTATTATTATTTTATTTTATTAATACTTTTATTATCATTTTGTCCCCATCATCCACATTTTATTACCACTCTATTACTGTTTATTAATAACATTGTTTTCCATACATATTTTATACAAAAACACTTTATTAGCCTTTCCACTAGTTCCTGTCCATTTTACACGAGATTATTGATTATTCACTATCTCACACTTATTACGTCATGCCAACTTCTGTCTCCTTTCTAACTTACAATTAGTCATCCCTTCTTACACCTTACATTATGTAATACAATTTTCTAAGGACAAAATTTACCAGTATCTGATTGGTCTAAAGATTTCTTTGTTAATTATAATTACGATTGTACAGCTCATGAAAATGAATCGTCGAAAAGAAAATTTTCTTCGCTGTTTGTGCCTTTTCTTATGACTCAATATGGGAATATTTCGTTCATTGAAGATAAACGACGCAAAACGACAACAACAACTACTACCAATCATCACCAAAGGGACAAACTTGGAAGAGGTCAGTTCCTGCATTTGTCTAGGCAGAATCGTTTCAATTACGACGCATCGAATGGATGAGAAATTCGAAATTAGCCAGCACCTGAAGTGCAAGACAGACGTTCATCACTCTGAAGTCACCTTAGGAATCTGCCGTTGCACTTCACCACACCATAAAGATCAAAAGTCGAATCTTCAACATGAATAATAAGTCAGTCATGTCTTCTACACAGGTCAGAAACCTAGTCAGCGCATAACGAAAAGCATTTCTGTCAGGAGACTGCACAGTTCAATCAACAGCTGCCTTCACTGGTCGGATATTGGCGAGAAAGAATCAGCCCCAAGAAACTATGGGAACAAACCAACCAGGAACCTATTCCCTACTCAAAAAATACCACGATAAAAATAGAGATGGATAAGACAGACGCTGAGGAGGCCATCGAATGACATTGCGCGCCATCCAGACTATCGCTGGAGTGGGACCTGAGTGGAAAACGATGAGTCGGGAGTCGGGTGATAATGAGGAGATAGTTTGGAGTGGGCGATCGTCAGGTTAACTGAAGAAGATCGCTGAAAGTAGGAGGAAGTGAAGATAATAATAATGATTTACTTTATTCCAAAAACAGTACTTATAATACAGAATGGAATTCTCAGTATTTGTCACAATATTGCATCTGATTTACTCAAAATATGTATAAAATTCAAAATTCAAACAAAATTAACCAGAGGAATTTGTCCACATTTACGACATAATTATTAGACATAATAATAATAACAGTGAGTTTGTTTCAAATGGTATTGTCGATTCAGTTTGGAAACTTTAGCAAGTTATAGATTATTGGATCTAATGTTCTGTTGATATAGTATAGTGAGGGGAAATACAAAATTAACAGTTATAATAAAGCTTAAATTATGTTCACACTTATGAAAAAAAATAAACAAAATGAAAAAATTGAAAGGATTATAAATATAAGAAATACAATAACAATAAAGTTTGATACTGTAAGGTCGGAGGAAATGGTTTATTTAGTGGTACAAAGAAGGTTAGTTAGTTCATGCCTGACACTATTTTCATCACATAAAGCACGTGCCAAATATGGTATAGTGGAATTTTTATACCTAGACGTATGTGCATAAAGTCTCCTGAAAAGACTTCTTGTTTTACCTGAGGAGACACAAGGTTGGAGCTGAGGGTAGAGTGGGTGCTCAGAGTCTGATAAAATTCCTTTAGCGAATTTGTTTTATGACATCAAGTGCCTATGATCAATGACGATGTCAACAATATGGCCCAATGGGATACCACTCGTCCTACTCACACTCTTCAGAGTTCTACGAAGTATGACATAGTCTTTTTTAAACAATCCAGGAAAGAGTACGGGTGAACAGTAAAGAAGAATAGGTAAAATACACGAGTTGATAAACTGTAAGAGGAGTGGT